AGAGGAAGGAAGAGAGACAGAGAGCTAGAAACGTCGATGAGAGAGAAACATCGACCAGCTGTCTCTTGCACACCCCCTACTGGGTATGTGCCCACAACCCACGTACATGCCCTTAACCGGAATAGAACCTGGGACCTTTCAGTCCGCAGACCGACGCTCTACCACTGAGCCAAACCGGTTTCGGCGCAGGCTTCTAATCTTTTATACTTAATTCAGGGGATATGAGAATTCAGCTATCTTTTTATTAAGCCAAACTATTATTTTCTTTTTCTTTCTTTCTTTTTGTGCTGTTTTTGTTTTTAGAAAAAGGAAGGGAGAGGAAGAGGGAGGGAACATCAATTTGTTGTTCCACTTATTTATGCATTCTTTGGTTGATTCTTGTATGTGCTCTGACTGGAATCAAACCTGAAAACTTGGCATATCAGGACAATGCTCTAACTAAGCTACCGGGCTAGGGACTATTAAGCCAAACATTAAAGGAAGTTGCAAAACTTTCTACTCACTATTTTTTAAAGAATATTTATTTCATAAAAATATTGTTAACATGTAATGGGTTGTTGTTATTTTTAATCTTAGAGAAGGTAGGAGAGGGAAAGGGCGAGGGGGAGATAGAGAAACACTGCTGTGATCAACTAACATAGACTGGTTGCCTCCCACATGAACGCCAATCAGGGACCGTACCCATAACCTGGGCATGTGCTTTGACTGACTGGGAATTGAACAAGAGATCTTTCTGTACATGGGACAACACTCAAGCAATTGAGCCACATCAGCCAGGGCAGGTTATTGTTACTTTGAAGTGAAATACTAGTATTTTTTGAAATGTTTCACATTTCTAATTTGATAAATATTGATATAACATATAATCAAAAGCTCTTTGGGATTCTCAATAATTTTTTTAAGATTTGTAAAAGTAGTTGTAAGACTAAACAAATGATTTAACTGTTGAAAATCAATACACAATTTTCAATAAAACAGAAACCTCACCTTAGCATTAATGACTAGTCTTTATACTACCCTGGCTCCTGGCAAGTTAGCTCTGTTGAAATTAACTTTAAGCACCTTTTTATTTCTTGTAGAAGTTGGGCACCTGGAGTATACAGCACAATTACTTTGACAAAAATCCCAACTGACTCTTTACAAAGGTAAAAGAACAAAAAATAAAAGGACGCCATAAAAACACACACACACTCATTCTTTAGTTGCTTAAAATTGGCTCAATCTAACAAAAAGATTAGACAATTTCAAACTGATTTTCAGTAACACATACATTTATCACTCTAACAAGCTATTTAAGTAAAGAAATCTGTATATATAAAGCCTAAGCAACCGTTACAACCGGTTGACCAAATGACCGGTCGACCAAACAACCAGTCAACTGGTCACTATGACGTGTGCTCAGCCAACCTCCCGCGGTCCCTCCCTGACGGCTGGCCAGATGGTCAGTGCGCTCCCAAACCAACCTCCCACGGCCGGCAAACCTCCCACGGTCCCTACCCCGGCCAGCCTGACTGGCCCCGATTGCTAGCCAGGCTGAGGTACCCCACCTGTGCACGAATTTGTGCACTGGGCCTCTAATCCTTACTAATAAGAGAGTAATATGCAAATTGATAATTACAACACACAAGGTGGCAGTCCTCATGTGGACAAAAGATGGCTGGCAGGGGAGGTCAGTTGTGGACAATCAGGCAAGCAGGAGAGGGCAGTGGGGGGGGGGGCGACAGGCAGTAGATGCAGTTTGGGGGATCAGGCTGCAGGAGAGGGCAGTTGGGGGGACCAGGCAGACAGTAAAGGACAGTTGGGAGGACCATGCCTGCAGGGGAGGGCAGCTGGGGGGGGAGGGGGGACTAGGCCTGCAGGGGAGGGCAGCTGAGGGGACCGGGTCAGCAGGGGAAGGTAGGTGGGGGGGGAGGGAGGGAGAGAACCAGGCCTGTAGAGATGGGCAGTTGAGGGAGACCAGACCTGCAGGGGAGAGCAGTTGAGGGGAACCAGGCAGGCAGGGGAGGGAAGTTCGGGGGGACCAGGCCTGCAGGGGAGGGCAACTGGGAGGGCCAGGTTTGGCAGGAGAGGGTAGTTAGGGGTGAACAGGCCAGCAGAGGAGGGCAGTTGGAGGCAACCGGAGCCTCCAGGGTAGGACAGTTAGGGATGACCAGGCCAGCAGGGGAGGGCAGCTGAGGGGACCAAGCCTGCAGGGGAGGGATATTGGGATGGGGGGACCAGGACTGCAGGGGAGGGTAGTTGTGGGGAGACCAGGCCTGCACGGGAGGGTAGTTGGGGGAGACTAAGCAGGAAGTGGAGGGCAGTGGGGGGGGGGGGCAGTCTGCAGGGAGGACAATTGGGGGCGGGGGGGGCAGGTTCGGCAGGAAAGGGTAGTTGGAGCAAACAAGCTGGAAGGTGAGGGCAGTTGGGGGCGACCAGGCCTGCAATAAAAGACAGTTATGGGTGACCAGGCCAGCAGGGGAGGGCAGCTGAGGTGACCAGGCCTACAGGGGAGGGATGTTGGTGGGGGGGGGGGACCACGCCTGCAGGGGAGGGTAGTTGGTGGGGGGGGGAGACCAGGCAGGAAGTGGAGGGCAGTTAGGGGGGGACCAGTCCTGCAGGGGAGGGCAGTTGAGGGGACCAGGCTTTTAGGCAGGCGAGCAGTTGGGAGCCAGCAGTCCTGGATTGTGAAAGGTATGTCTAACTGCCCGTTAAGGCCCATTCCCACCAGGATTGGGCCTAAACGGATAGTCGAACATCCCTCGAGGGGTCTCAGATTGGAAAGGGTGAAGGCTGGGCCAAAGGACACCCCACCTCCATCGCCCTGTGCATGAATTTCGTGCACCAGGCCTCTAGTTTTTAATAAAAACGCAAAGCCAAACAAATTATTCTCAAAATCTATGCTGAACTACATTATGACTTACATATTGCATTAAGAATGAAGTTGGACCCTTAACTTATATCATACACACAAATTAACTCAAAATAAATAAAAGATTTCAATATGAAATTTAAAACTATAAATCTTTTAGAACAGTTGAAAAGTTACATGACATTCAATTTGGCAGTGATTTCTTGGATATGATATTAAAAGCACAGAAAGAAAAAATAAATTGGAGTTTGCTGAAATAACTTTTGTACATTTAAGCACACTATCAAGTGAGTAAAGAGAGAATTCATAGGATGGGGGAATCTATGTGAAAAATTATATATCTAAGAAGGGGTTAATATCAAGAATATATAAATGACTCCTCAACAATAAAAACAAACTCAATTCAAAAATGAGCAAAGTACTTGCATAGACATTTCTCCAAAACAGATATAAAAATGGCAAGTACATGAAAAGAGGCTCAACATCACTAGTTAGCAAAACAAACCACAAGCAGATACCATTTCACAGCCTTTATAATAGTTATTAAAAAAAAACCCTCAGGTGATGTTTAACCACTGAGCTGGTTTTGCTCAGTGGTTAAACATCAAGCCACGCACCAAGATGTCACCATTTGGATTCCTAGTCAGGGCACATGTCCAGTTTTCAGGATGGATCACCAGTAGGGGGTGTACAGGAGCCAACCAATTGCTGTTTCTCTCACTGATGTTTCTCTCTCTCTCCCTCTCATAAATCAATAAAAACATATTAAAAACTCAGAAAAGGTGTGCCGGTGATGATGTGAAGAAATTAGAAACCTTGTACATTACTGTTGGGAATGTAAATGGTACAGTCAAGGTGGAAAACAGTTGGGACAGTTCAACAAAGATCTACCATATGTCCCCAAAATTCTACTCCAAGGACAAATCCAAAAGAATTAAAAACAGGGATCCAAATAGCCAAAAGGTAAAAACAACCCAGTGTTCACCAACAGATGAATAGCTAAACAATGGGGTGCTGTCTACACTAATAAGAGTAAGATGCAAATTGACCATACCTTCATGACACCCACCAGCCAATCAGGATTATGCAAATTAACCCAACAAAGATGGCAGGTTAATGTGCATATGCAAGCATCGAGCGGCTAGGGGCAAGGTGGGACGCTTGCGTCGTCACCATGGCAACAGTGCAGGTGTTCTGCACCCCCATAGCCGTTCCAGGCCCCAGGGCAGCATGGGAAGGCAGAAAGGTGGCTCCGGCCAGAGTGAAGGTGGTGCCCGCAGCTAGGGGAAGGAAGGCCCATTCTTGCACAAATCTCTGTGCATCAGGCCTCTAGTTCAGCTATAAAAAGGAATGGAATTTTTATATAGGCTACAACATGGATGGACCTTGACAAGATTACACATAATAAAATAACTCAAATGAGATACCTACAATAGGCAAGTTCACCCTATATAATAAAGAGGTAATGTGCAAACTGACCATCATACCCTGGCACAAGATGCAGTTGTGGGCAATCAGGTCGGCAGGGGAGGGCAGTTGGGGGTGACTAGGCCAGTAGTGGAGGGCAGTTAGACATCAATCAGGCTGGCATGGGAATCGTTAGGGGTGATCAGGCTGTCAGGCAGAAGCGGTTAGGAGCTATCAAGCACGCAGGCAGGTGAGCAGTTGCAAGCTAGCAGTCCCGGATTGTAAGAGGGATGTCCGACTGCTGGTTTAGGCACAATTCCACAGGGACATCCAGCAGTCGGACATCCCCCTAGGAGTCCCAGATTGGAGAGGGTGCAGGCTGGGCAGAGGGACAACCACCCACGCCTAGTAGAAACAGAAAGTAAAATAGCGTTTACTAGGACTGGAAGGAGTATAGGAGGAGTCATGAGTTATTGTTTAATGGGTACAAAGTTTTTGTTGGAGAGGATTAAAATGTTTTGGGTTACACAACATTGTGAATGTATTTAATGTCACTAAATTGTATATTTGTATATAATATATATATATTGAAAAAATGGTTACCTTTTTAAAAAAAAATGACGTTTATTTTTTGCAAGAAAATTTAATTGCCTTAATGTTTGTTAGTATTTTTCAAATAAAAATATTAAGAGTTGAGCCCTCTAATAAAAATAATACGAGTCACTGATAATGCTTTACTTACCCGTTTGGGGCCACTAAAAATCTTTCTGGTATTTTCCTTTGATTTATCTCCTTGTTTACTTGGGGGCTTCTTCACACTTTCAGGAACACCAGGCAAGTCTTCTGTAAAATCCAAGTTTTCTGAAATGGTAATCAAAACTATCTAGCTTTCTAAGATTTCAAATTATCTACCAAACAATCTATGGACATTTGGTGGGGAGGGGAGAGGGGCAAAAACAATAAAGGAATAAAAGCACCACACAGTTGATAAAATACTACCAAAAATATTAGCTCATTCTCCCATTCTCACCCTATTTGTCACTTGTTCCACCCCTACCATTAAGAAAACATTGAGAAACCTACTTGCTCCAGTTTTTATTTTCTATAAATGGCAAAATCAATTATTTTACAAAATAACTGCTGGATACCTATGAACACTGACATTGATATGACCTAGTTTAAACTCATACATAATATCAAGTGGTATCTATCTTAAACATTTTCCTAGAATTTAAGGACATAATCATGTTGAGCTTCAAAGAAGGCCCACTTACATCTACAAAGATACATTAAAAAATAAAATTTTTAGCCCTAGCCAGTTTGGCTCAGTGGATAGAGCACTGGCCTGCGGACTCAAGGGTCCCAGGTTCAATTCTGGTCAAGGGCATGTACCTTGGTTGTGGGCACATCCCTAGTAGTGGGTGTGCAGGAGGCAGCTGATTGATGTTTCTCCCTCATTGATGTTTCTAACTCTCCCTCTCCCTTCCTCTCTGTAAAAAAATTAATAAAATGTATTTTAAAAATAAAATTTTTAAAGGATTACTATCTTTGGCAAAAGATACAAAATGACCAAGTACAATGTACTTAAATGATTTGGGGGAGGGGAGTGTTCACACAAACCTAACCAAAAGATCAGATAAATTCCCAGATAGCTATAAATTTTTATTTTCAAGCTTAAAATAGAACACAAAAATAGACTTTTCTCCAGGTCAAAATTTTAAAATGTTTGCTACTCCTGTTATAATTATATGAAAACTCTAATTTCAACTCAAATGGTCTCTAATTTAAAATGATCTCTAATTTAATTTTTGGTATCAACCTGAAATTTTTGAAAGGGAGCTAATGGTTTCTCATTGTAAAATTTAAAAAACTACATATTCCAAGATGTAAACTTCAGCCAGAGATGCCCAATTGCAGATTAAGATAATTTGCTATCAAGGTTAGCATACATTTTTACTTATCACACCCACCCCACCCTCCCAGAGAACAACAGTCAGCTCTCAGAAACTAGCAAGGTTTCTGCAATCATCAGTTTTCCAGAAGAGATTCAAGACAAAATGAATAATTCTGACATTTTATTTTATTTTATTTTATTTTATTTTTTATTGCAGTGGGTGAGTCAGGAGTGAACCCTTAGAGACTACTCCTGTATAATTCTATTTTTAGAGATAAGAGTGATTCAAATCTAGCAAAATTATTTTTAGGCCAAATAAAGCAAAAAGATGGGTAGTCTCCAGTATGACTATGAGAAAACCTATGTGGAAGAATACGATTAGAATTCTAATTTATCATGACACTTTCTCTATGACCCTAACAAAAGCTTTATTTAAGGAAGTGAACGGATACAGAAAAGCTATACTTAGTCAAATTCAAATAAATTTAGCTCCTGTAACACAGAGGCTTTCACATGCTCTTTCTCACTCAGCAGTTAATGCACTTCACAAAACCCTTGTCAAGTAATGACTTAATTACTGCAAAGCTAACCTATTCCTTTTGTCTTTCACAGTGGAGGCTATCAACTCTTTGAGGACCTCTAGTCATTACTGGTCCTACTATCTTAAAAGATAAATTAAATTTTCACCATTGAGGATGGAAAAATACTTTATCACTTTTTAATTTTATGAAATCAATTTAAGAGGGTAACTTTTTACATAAAGTTTTTTTTTTTTAATGTTTTTATTACTGATCTTAAGAGAGCGAGGAAGGAAGAGGAAAAGAGAAATATCTATGTGACAGAATAACAACATCAATTGGCTGCCTCTATTGGGGATCCAGCCCACAGCCCAGGCATGTGCCCTGACAGGGAATCAAACTTGCAGCATTTGGTTGCCTGGGAAAAACTCAACCAACTGAGCCACACCAGCAGAGGCTAAGAGAATAATTGTTAAGATTAAGATTTAATTAATATTTCTTTAGAATGTTTTAAACATTTATTAGTTGGTTAGTTTTGAGCCAAATGCAAAGGCTTTTTATCAATTTTAATTTTTAATATTTCCCTCATTACAACCATCCATTACAAGCATGTCAAACTCAAAAGCTAAGATGGGCCAAATAAACAAGGTTTAAGTTTATATGGCCACAAAAAACAAAAGCTTCAATTTTCATAGAAATGTAGAGATATGCTGAATACAAAAGGCTGAAATAAATGAGTAATTATTAACATAAAATAGAATATTTTAATAAAAATTAATATTTTTTTCTTGAACATTAACTTACCCGACACTGAATAGCACAAATTAATAAGGGTAACACAAATAAATCTATTTTTCTTGTTCTCCAAAAGCAAAATATCTCCTGTTGTGTACACCCAACAAGTCAGTCCAAGACTAATGGCGTAGCAGTCGGCTGCTAAAACATTCGCTGCCAGTTATTAGTGGCGAGAAATGATACTCCTGCGCATAAGGGCGCGTAAGGGAAAGGAATTCAACACGATTATAGTTATCAGTCATTAGCAAACGTTGTAGTTCATTATCAATAGTTATGTATGACAAGATACTATAAAAATTAAGTTATGAAATTTTTATTAAAATGTTTCTTACATACCATTATATTTGCTTGGCTGCAAAAATATTTGTGGGCCACATGCAGCCCATGGGCTGCGAGTTTGACATGCTTGATCTACACTATCAGTTTAATTCTAAATGTACAAAATCTATCCTTGTCTCAAATCCCAAACACACACACACTCTTTAAAATTCTCAAGTGCTAATAGATTAATAAACAAATATGACGCTGGCTAGTGTGGCTCACTTGGTTGGGCATCTTCCCATGCACTGAAAAGGGTGCAGGTTCAATTCCCGATCGGGTCATAAACCCAGGTTGCAACTCAAGCCAATTGAAGTTCCAAGTGTTTCACTTTCACATAGATGTTTCTCTGCCTCTCAAAATCCATTAAATAAATAATAATGAAAAGATTCCAAAATCTACAAATTGGCTCCTTACAATGTAAAACTTAACATTTAAAATGTTATACCTTTGAATAAGCTAGTCTGTAATTCTAAATAGTGTTTCTATTAAAATTAAATGTAAGTTAAAACTGAGTATCTAGGAGGAAACTAAGTAGCTTAAGCCTGAAAAGCACTTAATACAAAAATTTTTTTAAAGTCTTACCTGCGTTATTAGTATTAGACTGACTGTCCCGGGAATTATCATTGCTTTCTGGAACAGGATGCAAGCATGGAGCTGTTTTTCTTTTTTTGCTTGTCTTTCTTTCCACTTGACAGTCATCATCTTCATCATCTTCACTTTCACTGAGATCATCAAAGCCAAAATACTTAATTTTGTAATTAGAACTCCCTGAACCCCCTTCATCACCTCCTGTTTCATCATGAGCTTCAAAACCAAAAAATTCAAGTTTAACATCCTTTTTGGATTTAGTATTACTAGGTCGAAATCTAGTAGTGGTTTTAGAAGTTGCAATATCTGCCTTTTTTCTTAGGCGGCCAGCTTCCCCCAAATCGGCAGGAGTTGATGCAGTGAACTCATCCATGCTGCGTTCCATAGTATCCTGAATGGTAACGTTACAAACTGACAAGCAAGATGGATGTAAAACAGTGTAATCTCTAGTCCGTCCAACTGTCCCTCTAAAACTGGTCCCACAACTCACACTGCCTTTCTTTGCCTGATTCAGGCCATCTTTACCTGACTCACTGTTTGCTTTGGCTAAGGCCTGACTGGTGCCATCTAATAGCTTATCAAAATTGGATGTTCCTTGGGAAGATTTTGCTTTATTGACCCTACAGTACGTCCTACAATTGCTTGGCCTAAGAACACTTTGCATGATGTCTTCTTCCTCAATGGCTTCGTCTGGGTTTTCCAACCGGCTTTTTAAATCCTCATCCTTCATTTCCAAAAGAGGATCACTATCCAAATTTAAGATACAATCTTCTGATCTGACATCTTCGAAATCATTATCCCACTCATACAAACCAGTTCTTACAGATCCCTTAATCAGAGATATTTCTGATGGAGATTCTAACCTTCTTCCAAGTTGGGAATTCCATGTATCATTTGTTTCCTTGATTTCATCAGCTTTGTATCCAGGAGCCACTATAGTTTCCGCATTGGGTTTCTTAGTACTGTCTTCAGCATTTTTGTAAATATGGTGACTATCCTTTTCATATTCGTCACTAAAATTCTCCACTTTATCTATAAAAATTAAACGAAGAAATTAAAAGCGAGTGACATCAAAGTACAAGTTAACAACTAGTAACAGTTTATGTGGCTAATTAATACCACAGAATCAATTAACCTTGAAATGATTGCAATAATTTTAAATTAAGACATTAATGTTTACATAGTTGACATTTCTCCTTACACCTTTTATATATATCATGTCTTCTAGTGACCTCTTCCTAGGCAACCAAATCCCTTAAAATTATTACCCTAAATTCATGAGATTTCAGTTGCTAAGCAACTGGATCAATTCAAAATGACACTTAAATGACTCAGCTAAGCCTCAGAAGTATAAAGAGTTTTTCAAATTAAAAAATGCTTAAATTAAAATGTATTTAGAATAAAAATAGAATATCACAATGAAAACATCCCAGTGTGTCTGTATTTCTCTGGGATAAGACTGCCCAGAGACTGATCAGCTCTGTCTAGAAACTTGTCCCAAGATCAGGCTTCTTTAACTATTTCTGCTGTCCATTCTTTCTTCAAATCTTAAAAGCCAAAGGACTTCAATAGTTTTTTGGGTTTTTTAAACAGTGGTTCTGAGGCCCAAGTTAAATGACTACAGTAGTTATTTATGCTATCAGTCAGGAGTAAATCTTAAACTCCATATTCATTTTGTGCTTGAAGAATTCATTATTGTTATCTTTAGTTTTTATCATCAGAGACATTTTTGTTAACCTTTCTAAATGAGACAGAAGTATGACTCAAACTGGTATTATGATTAATTCTCCCAGGACTCACTGATAGAAAAACACTGGTAAATACCTATGCCAAAAAATAAAACTCGCCCTGGCTCATGGGTTAGATTCCCGGTCAAGGACATGAACCTAGGTTGCAGATTAGATCTCCAGCCTCCATCAGGATGTGTGGTAAGAAACCAATCAATGTGTCCCTTTTATAACGATCTTTCTTTCTTTCTCTCTCTCATACTCCTTTCCCTCCCTCCCTTTCATACTCTCTCTAAAAATCAACAGAAAAAAATATCCTCAGGTGAGGATTAGGAACAAAAAAAGGTACCTACAACTGTTAATGCTATCCAATGGGTTTAAATATAATTTAAGATTTGTATTTACTTACCTTTAGAAGGCATCTAATTTACAGGTATATGTGTTTTATTCTTAGATATTTCCTAGCTGAAGGCAAAAGGAACTATAGTTTTCATAATCTCAGAAGTACCAATCATATAAGTATAAAATACTAAAAAACAAAAATTAAAAGCTGACTATGACATCTCTTACTTTTAAAAGGCATGGAAGCAAAACTTAGTATAAAAATCAAACCCAATAACTGCTTTTATAACAAGTGGAAAGAACACTGATAGCTGAGACTGGAAACTAGTATTGCTCTGGTTAAACTAGTTCTTTAGAGCTCAGGCAATACCCCTAACTTAGGGAGTTTTCCTGAAGGCTCCAATTTTCTCACCTGTTCAAAAAGGAAGCCACTGACCAAACTATTTTCTACTGTTACTGAAGGAATTATTTATAAATAAATGCCTATGGGAAGGAACACTTAGTACTTAGCTATACAAAGGCCTATGAGATGTCACTGAATTCCATACATCATCATATTTGTAACTATTGTATATAGATTTCATTGTATTAATGTCACAAATTTATTGAGGCTGCTTATGATTATTTATGAATAAACACCTCTGACTTAAAATAAAAAATTTAAGTGAATAAACTTCCATGTTTTCAAAAATTACTACTCCAGCCGAAACTGGTTTGGCTCAGTCGTAGAGCGTTGGTCTGTGGATTGAAAGGTCCCGGGTTCGATTCCAGTCAAGGGCATGTACCTTGGTTGCGGGCACATCCCCGGTAGGAGGTGTGCAAGAGGCAGCTGGTCGGTGTTTCTCTCTCATCGACGTTTCAAGCTCTCTGTCTCCCTTTCTATCTGTAAAAAATCAATAAAATATATATATATTTTTTAAATTACTACTCCAGCCCTAACTGCTTTGGCTCAGTGAATAGAGCGTCAGCCTGTGGTCTGAAAGGTCCCAGGTTCGATTCCGGTCAAGGGCATGTACATTGGTTGCGGGCACATCCCCAGGTGGGGGTGTACAGGAGGCAGCTGATTGATGTTTCTTTCTCATCTACATTTCTAACTCTCTATTCGTCTCCCTTCCTCTCTGTAAAAAATCAATAAAATATATTTAAAAAACAAATTACTATTACAATTTCCCTTAAAATCAGAAAGAAGAATCCATATTATGTTTTAACAGTAACTACTCTCATAACCAGGCTACCTTACATGTTAAGTATTATGAGCCTGTCTTAAAATTTTGTTTTAAATGCAGAGAATAATAAAGAGCCCTATATAATTAAGTTGTATTAATAAATATAATTCATAAACAGTCCTACAAATGAAATACTCAAGTACATTACATATTTAAACTTCTAAAATACACAGATAAAAGCCAATTTAATCAACAAAAGTTCTGCATAAGAAAAGCTTTCCAAGTTCTCCACAAGAGTATTTCAACATAAAAAGAAATGCTTTCTACAGTCCTTGATCCTTTAGCTCTCCAGTATTGGTAACTAACCATACCTTCAGAAGATAAGACAAGGCTATCTTACCCTAAAATGCAGAGCAACAATTACTTTCAACTGCCCTCCTCCCTTAAACATGCCAGCTTCTCAAACAGATAAACCCATTTAACATCTCAAAACATCAAGCATTTTAAAAAGAATTAAGTAGCCGAAACCGGTTTGGCTCAGTGGTAGAGCGTTGGTCTGCGGACTGAAAGGTCCCAGGTTCGATTCCGGTCAAGGGCATGTACATTGGTTGTGGGCACATCCCTGTAGGGGGTGTGCAAGAAGCAGCTGGTCGATGTTTCTCTTTCATCAATGTTTCTAGCTCTCTCTCTCTCTTTCCCTTCCTCTCTGTAAAAAATCAATAAAATATATTAAAAAGAGGTAAAGATTATTTTTTAAAAGAGAGGCTAAGTATTACTCTTTTTATATCTAATATTATACATGTATATGTTTATAAACAAAATGCACTTCTAGCTCCAATAACATTTTAGGAATTAAGAGAATAGTGTCAGTTTTACCATTTACTGGCAAAAATGAGGTCTTAAGTTCAGACAGTTCCTTCACCTAATAAAAGCAACTAATAAAATCCATCTCAGGGCAGGTTGAATAGATAAAAGAATGTAACCAGCCAGTGTTCCGGGTGGTAAGAGCATGAACTGGAGGTCATGGTTCAACTCCTGGTTCAATTCCAGTTTAGGGCACATATTCAGGTTTCAGGCTCTGCCCCCAGTAGGGGGCATGTGGGAGGCAGCCAATCAATGATTCATTCTCACTGTTGATGTTTTTTTCTCTCTCTTCCTCTCTGAACTCAATAAATATATATATATTATATACATATATATATATATATTATATAATATATATATATATATATATATATATATATAGGTTTTCTTAAAAAACAAAAAAAACACAAAAAAAGAATACTAGAGCATCACACAAATGCATATTATCATAACTATTACAACTTTGCCAGAATATATTTTTAATAATCTATTATCAAGACTTAGTGGAATTTAGCCTGCAAGTTCATCAATACTCCCTTATGTCCTCTATCAGCTTCATGCAAGGAATCCAAAACCACATTCCAAGGCCTACTGTTTTTCCTCAAGCTAGAGGATGAAGACTGGATGTATAGAAAGTTCAATACAAGACTTAGCCAAGCAATCAGATACTTAATGCCTTTTAGCATCACTATATTTTAGCATCACTAGATAGTTATTCAATATTTAATATATTAGGTAACACATAGGGAAGGCATTGATCTTAATGAAGACTCTGTGTAATCTGGAAGTTCTGAGTAGCATGGGGCTGAACCACACAGCTAAGCCAATAACTTGATGTGTAAATATTTGACAAGTCATATTGCTCCACTAAGCCCTATTCCTGCTTACCTAAAAAACAGTGAGTAACTTCTAAAAGATTAATTAAATGCCCATTATTTTCTTAAGGATTCTTACGTTTGGAAGAAAACAGATGATTCCCTTAAAATAAACACACAAACATATCAATACTTGCAGTAATAGAAGTGTATACATAGTTTTATAAAGGAAATTAAACGGAGAGATGATTTCAGGCTTCCATGAGGGAAGTGAATGCTCTGAAGTATTTTAAAAAGTGGGAAGGGAAGGGAGGCTCTCCATCCCTGGAGAGGACCCTTTCCTTTCCCTTCCACCCCCCGCCCCTAGGCACTTTACCACTGGCATATACACTTATAAAGTTGTATGCATCTGTGTGTGTGTGTGTGTGTGTGTCACGAGTCCAGCTTCAATTCATAGCCAATTTTATTTTATTTGATCCCCATTTATTTTCTTTTTATAATGGGTTATTTTGAAGCAAATTCCAGACCTTGTATTTTATACATAAACTAGTGACCCAGTGCACAGATTCACGCACATTGAAAGGAAATTAATTAGAAGGTGGCCTGGTCACCCCTAACTGCCCTCCCCTGCTGGTCTGATCCCCCTAACTGCTCTCCCCTGCTGACCTGATTACCCTTAACCACCTCTGCCTTGGTCCCTGCCACTATGGCTTTGTTCCATAGAATGTCTGGAAGACGTCCGGTCTAATTAGCATATTACCCTTTTATTAGTATAGACCAGTGATGGCTGCTAAAAAATTGAATAACTACAGTAGATAAACCGTATTTTTTTATTGCTTACCTTCATTTTTACTTAAAAAGTTATTATTTTTAATCCTCACCCAAAGATATTTTTTCCATTGATTTCTAGAAAGAATGGGAGGGAGGCGGGTGAGAGAGAAAGAAATATCTACATAAGAGAGACACACCAATTGGTTGCCTCCTGCACCGCGCCCCTACCAGGGCTGGGGAACTAGCAACAGAAGTGGCCTTGACTAGGAATCGAACCTGAGGGCCAATGCTCTAACCACTGAGCAAATGGCCAAGGCTACAGTGATTTTAAAAAAATATTTTTATTG